TTTATGGTATTAACCAAAGATATTATCTTGATGTATTGATCGCACAATCGAAGTTTTTACAATTTGCAATAAAATGTAAAGTAGAGAGTAAGAGAGAAAGAGAGCGACACAAAGATTTGTTTAGGCAGTTCCCCAATTAGCCTTGATATGAGTACATCTTCCCAAATTCCGTTTGAAATTGAGATAATGAAAATTAACCTTTGCAAAATGTTGATATAAGAGAGCAAGTAACAATCTAACAAGAAAATGCCTAAGTATGTTGTTTATTTTATCTTATCCTCTCCCCTCTATCTTGAGTTTGATCAAATGAACCCGATACTTCCAATTTGATCCACCGTCTCACACTAATCCTTTGCAAGAACACCCATTCTTCAAACACTTCACTCGACTGAATCCAAATTACAAACATATTGTGACCTAAGATTTACCAATTTGATCCTCCATCTCACGCTACTCCTTTGACCGAACCCACCGTTCTTAGAAGCTTTCACTCGGCTGAACCCAAATTGCGTAATCTTGTACAAAACCTTCAAATCACCAATTGATATTGAAGGAAAACCCCGACTTGGTTTTCTTATTTGAAACCCCCGAAGAATTCTCAACCCAATCGATTTCAATGAACTCTAATTGGACGTTATTAAAATATCTCTAGATTACACCAAACAAAGAATGGTTATGTGTAATTTGTTTATGTGTATGTATAGAGAGAGGATGAAGAGGATGAGAAATTGCTTTGTATATTTGTAGTTTCGTGTTGTGAAATGATGCATGATTGTGTATATATATGTGTGTGAGAGTGTACATGATAAAACAGAAGAAAAAAAATTGGGCTGCAAAATTATAAAATTTGACACATAAAATAGAAGGAGCCGACCCATACGAAGAGGGAGTTGACTCCCAGGGTAAGGGAGTCGACCCATACAGCCTGGGCGTCGACTCCTTTTAGAAAGAAACAAAATGTGAAAAATCAGCTTTAGTAGTTGACTCATACATGTGGGAGTCGGCTCCTTCGTGTAATGAGTCGACCCCAAGTGTGAGAGAGTCAACTCCTTCGAGCCAGAGAAAAGATTTTTGAAATTACTTTCAGTAGGAGTCGGTTCCCAGACTCATGGAGTCAACTCCTTTGAACTCGTGACTTCTTTTTCACATTTATTTTAGAAGGAGTTGACTGCTAATATGAATGAGTCAACTCTAAACATGATGTCCAAAAGCTTTTGACTCGATCCCTAAGCGTCATATTATTATAATGCAACCTAGACATAGAGAGATATCACCCAATATATAGATAATACATATTGTCTAGTTTTGAAATTATTCAAAACATTTAATAGAGGATATTTCACTCACATGATGATTATTCTGATTTTTTTGGATAATTCCTCTAAACAACAAGTCTCAAGTTTTTGAAAAGTTCACCTCACTTTCTAGTCAAATTCATACACAATTTTCTTAAACTATTAAATATTTTCAATGTGATAATGGGCGTGAATATGATATTTCAATATTTCGTAAATATTGTGTTGATAATGATATTATTTTTCGTTTCTATTTCCCTCACACTTCATCACAAAATGGCAAAGCAGAACGTAAAATATGCACTATTAACAACATGATTCACGTTTTTCTCGCTCATTCATCTATCCCTGCCTCGTTTTGGCATCATGCACTTAAAATGGACACCTATATTCTTAATATCCTACCTAAAAGAATTTGTCCAATTACTCCCCTACACAACTTTTGTATCATCGTGATCCCTCGTACACACACCTTTGCGTCTTTGGTTGTCTTTGTTATCCATTATTCCCATCCACTATCATTAATAAACTACAACTATGCTCGACCTCGTGTGTCTTTTTAGGATATCCCACTAATCACAAAGGTTACAAATGTTTTAATTTTTCACATAGAATTATCATCATTTCATGACATGTCATCTTTGATGAGACACAATTTTCCTTTGCCCACACGCCTTCCCCGCTTGTCACCACATATGACTGCTTTACTGCTAACTTGCACCCATCTATTTCCATCAATGGACAAATCCCACCTTGCAACCTCTTACCAATAACCATCTCATACCTGACCATCAGTCTATATCACCCACTGGACCATATCATTCCTCTCAAATCTCATTCTCTTCCCCCTCCACAGCTACATTTGATACATCCCCATCACCTACACCTCTGGCATAGTATGTACGACCTACTAGGACTATGCTATGCGTAGCATGTAGGGTATCTACAAACCCAAAAAACTCTTTAAATTCTATGTTACCATTGAGGATCCAACCATCTCATATCTTCCCAAAAATCCCAATTTAGACCTATCTGTCCTAAATTAGAAATTCACAATGTAGTCTGAACTTAAAGCTCTTTTTAAGAATAATGTGTCGAATTTGATTTCACGACTTGTGATGTTAATATTATTCAATGTATATGGATTTTCCGTCATAAAAAGAAATCTAACGACTATTTTGAGCATTATAAAGATCGTCTTGTTGGTGATGACATATCACACGTTGCAGGTGTAGATTATGATAAGACATTCAGTCATTTGGTGAAACCAACAACTATTCACATTGTTCTCACTGTTGCTTTGTCCAAGTTATGACCTATTCATCAACTAGATGTCCATAATGTATTTCTACATGGTGATCTTTATGAGATAGTTTATATGCATCAACCACTGGGTTTTTGTATTCTTCATCACCCATATTACGTGTGTCGCTTTGCAAAAATCACTCTATGGTCTTAAAAAAGCACATCTTTCCTGGTACCAGCATTTTACCGACCTTGTTGCTACCATTGAATTTTAGCACAACACCTCTGATCACCCACTCTTCATCTACCGTCATGGCTCTGACATTACTTACATCTTACTTTATGTTGATAACATCATTCTCATGACCTCCTCTAATGACCTACGCAAATTTATCATGGCACTCATTTCCTCCGAGTTTGCTATGAAGGATCTGGGACCGCTAAGTTATTTTCTGGGTATTGCAGTGACCAACATGTAGAAGGATTGTTTCTTAGTTAGAGTACCTATGCCAGCGACATTATTGCTCGAGTAGGCATGGCCTCATCCGAATCATCTGCTACTCTAGTTGACACAAAGCAAAAGCTTAGTACCTCTGCTGACACTCCATATGATGATCCTATATTATATCAGAGTCTTGCAGATGCTTTGGAGTATCTCATATTTACCCGTCATGACATCTTCTATGTTGCCCAGCAAGTGTGCCTTCACATGCACGCTCCCTGCACATAGCACATGCTTGCACTGAAATGCATCATGTGTTACGTTCAGGGCACCTTACAATATGATTTGCATCACTATTCTTTTCCCATCGAGAAGCTTGTTTCCTACACAGATGCTTATAGGGGTGGATGTCCAGACACTCGTGGATCTACTTCAAGTTATTGTGTTTTTCTGGGTGACAATCTAATTTCATGGTCTTCCAAGCGACAACCCACACTTTTCCATTTCATTATATAGGCTGGGTACCGGGACGTTGCTAATGCGGTTTTAGAATCATGTTGGCTCTCCAACCTTCTCTTGGAGCTTCATTTTCCTATTTTCCAGGCTACTCTTGTGTACTATGACAATGTTAGTGCTATATACCTATCCGACAATCCTATCCAGCATCAGCACATAAAATACATTGAGATGGACATTCATTTTGTTCGGGAGAAGGTCACTCATGGTCAAGCCCACGTTCTTCATGTTCCTTCTCGACACTAGATTACCGATATCTTCACCAAAGAACTCCTTAAAGTTCTCATTGATGATTTTCGGACCAGCTTAAGTGTACGTCAACCTCCTGCTTCAAATGCGGAGGTGTGATAAAATATATATTTATATTTGTAAATAACTCTCACATCGACTATAACATCTAATAAACTGTAAATCTTTATAATATATAAAACAGTCTCCGTAATACTATTGTCACAAGTTGATCTCAATATCTTACAATAACAATAACAAAAAACAAATATATTATAATAAATGAGTAAAAAGACTATTCTAACCCCATGCATAAACAACTACACCATACGAGGATTGAAATAATATAATTAGCAGACAAGAAACAGTACAGAGATAGCTTTGAAAGTTTCCCTTTTATAGAATTAAAAAAAATAGCTGCGAAAGAGATATAAGCAAGTTTAATATATATATATATATATATATATATATATATATATATATATATATATATATATATATATATATTAAAATTGCTTTTTTAATAGCAAAAGAAATATATTAATAAATGAGTAGAAGGGTTACTCTAAACCCCAGCCATAAACAACTGCTCCTAATTATGAGGATTCAAATAATATAGCAGACAAGAAACAGTATAGAGATAGCTTTGAGAGTTTCCCTTTAATAATATTAAAGAAAGATACATGTGAGAGAGAGAATAACAAAAAGATAATAGCCCTATATGGCTTCAAATACTTGAAATTTTGCATTCACCCCAGCAGTATACATGCAATGCAAAGCTTAAATCCACAAACCTTAAAGAATTTGTTTTTAGACAATTTTTTTTTGTGAAAAATTGTATGAAAAACAAATCACTTGTGAATCTTTTCTTTTCAACAAAAACACAGTATTTAGGAGTAATAATGCTTAAACAATTTTGAAATTTATATCAATAAAATAATATTAAAATTAAAGAAAGCAAGTAACTAATAAATAAAAAAATACTAGTTCATGGAGAATATAAACATGATAAACAATTCAGAAATCAATTAAAATAACAAAAAAACCCATCATCATCTTTTTTATTCGAAAACACAGAACCAAAAGAGAAACATACATAAAGTTCTTACTTAATAATCATATACACATACATAGAGAATGTGATAGATAAATTATAATATATAACATTGCTTCCTCTTCTCACTTCTCATCCCATTTGATCACAAACCAACACTACAATATAATATAACTATATAAATATCCAACTTCATGTGATCAGATTCATATCATTTGTTTCAGTATGGTGGCCTAATTCCATGAGGCCATGGAAAAGCTTCATGTCCCACATGGCCACCATTAGGAAGAAGATTTGGTGGCAGGTTGTACAAAGGCATAGAAGATGGATCTGGAAGGGCAGACTGCATATGGCCTCCACCACCGCCACCGCCACCGCCACCGCCACTACTTCCAATTCCGGGAGGAGATGAATTATTAGCACCAGCATGATGTCCTCCATGGATCCCACCATCATCCTCTTCTTCCTCCTCAAGTGGTAATCTTTCATAAGTAGCATTAGCAAAAGTAGCGGCGATAACTATAACAGATCCAGCAGCGATCAAAGGTCCAACAACACTTCCACCAACAACCTGCCCTTGTCCACCAGCTAAGTAAACTGTGAGTCCGGTAGCACCGGGAGGAGACGGGCCGGGTAGAAAAGCTCCGGTTAACGATAGAATCTCGAACCTTCCATGAAGTGCTACAACAGCTCCTGGTGCTGCTGGTTGTCTGAGGGTAACATTTGCTACTGATCCGCTACCGCTTAAGATACAAACTCCGCGCTGTCTCCTTCTCGCGAACTGAGCTACGCTCTCGGCTACATCCACCCCAGGGGATACTTCCATCACATGGCTTTTCAGTGAATTTGGACTGTCTCTTGTTATAAAGATGGGCGGTTTTGGTTTGTTTTTAGAACCCGGTGGTCTCCCTCTTGGTCTTCTGTTTCCAATTTCCACCGCGCCTTCTTTCGGTTCCTCCTCCTCTCTTTCTTCATCCTCCTCTTCTTCTCTTCTTTTCGTTTCATTCATGAAAAGTTCCGCGTGGTGGCGTTTGTTTGAGCCAGGTGAATTGTCTGATGCGTGGTGGTGATGATCCACCACCCCAGACAATCCCACCTGTTGATCTGCCCACCACGGATTAGCCAGAATTGCTGAGTATTTTTAGTCGCGAAAGTGCAAGAGTATGAAGAAAATAAGATGGCGGTGTTGTTGATGTGATTCAGATAAGAGAAATCCAATTCAAAGCTCAAAGTTTGCTTCTTACATAACGCAATTGACTGATTCTACATAGGGCAGCAACTGCAACTTCTTCTTGCAACTTGTTGGGAAATTTTAGCAAATAGAAGAATGATTATTATATTTTTGTGTATTTTGATTTTAACAGACAAAGAAAGTCAAACCTTAACAGCTCATCATATATGAAAAACAAAGGGTTTCTTCTTGTATCTATCTATCTAATCTATGTATGTATTACCTAACAATAACATATATGAAATACATAGATGCTCTTTCACGAGCTATACAAATAAATTAAAAGAGAGAGGGAGAGAGAGAGAGGGGAAAGGAGAGACTAAAGAGAGGTGCTTAGAAGTTGAGGTGAGGAATTAGATTCAATGACTCATAGGAATCAAGTAAAGGAGTGTGTTTGATATGAAAGGGATATTTAATTAATTATTAATTAAGTAAAAGAGTCATAAGATGCAAAAGGAGTACTAGTAGTGATTGTTGATCACACTATTATCACCAAGTGTTCAACTTTATTAGGGTTTGTCTAATAGACCTCTAAAATAATATTCAAGCATGAGCATTGGGTGATAAAACAGATCGATTGGTTGGATATGTCCGTTTTGTTAATATTGTTTTCTCTTTTATATTTGTTTCGCGGTCTTGTCTTTTTTATATAGATTTTTATTAGTGTAAATGTTAACATACATTTTACAATTTTAAATTTTAAAGGTGTCGAATCAGTTATCTTTTTTAGAATAGAGTAAAGCTTTAGACTTATATTATCTTCTATGTTCGTCGTGTATGTTCAATTTTATTTTTGAATAAAAAATAATCTTATAGTAATAAAAAAATAGAAAAGAAATACAATGTTTTTTTTGTTGTAAAACTTACTATTATAGATCCACCTTTACACTAGCACCATACTAAATGCCCATACTTCATTATTAACAATAATGATTTAGTTTCTCTATCTAACATTTATAAGGTTGCTAACATGTGCCTAAAAAAACAAATAAGTATTCAAAGAATTAAACTATTAAAGAATTAAATATGCAAATTTTAAGATAATACATATTATATTATTATATTTAGTATTTTAGTATGTGTCATGTGTCTCCAGTACACATGTAACATTTTCTATACCTAAATATAATATTAAGAATTGACATTAGTCGACAACATGGAACGGGTGGAAAACTCTTACAATTGCAGATGTAGGGAATGAATTTAAAACAATATGTTCATCTTAGTAATTTTGATATTTTGTCATAGTTTATTCCACTTAGGATTCTGGTATGTTTGTTAAATTTATTAATGCTAATTTGTTAGGCTGATAAGATTAATTTGTTACGTAGTTATTAAATAGTTTATGTATATATAGTCATGAAGCACTCTTTGTAACCGCTTGAATAAAGAATTAGAATATGAGCAGGTGTACATTATTTTATTATTTATTGAAATTTTAATTATAAATAATATATAAGTATGATTAATTAAGTTATATTTATAATATTTTATTTTAAATTATAAATTAAAGATAATTAAATAAAATAAACATAAATATGTTAAAATTTTGAAAAATAAATTCTTTCAATTTTTTATAAGCATAATTTCAAATGCATTAAATTTATCCATGTGTGATATTAAGATGATTTATTAGGAATTTTTTAAGGGTATATAGATAAGAGAATAAAAATATTATACAAAATTCAATAACTTAAAACATGTATTATTGAAATTATTTGAGAGAATACACATGTTAAAATATTATATATGAGATGATATCATAGGAAAAAAATAACTTTTAAATTTTATAATTATAAATAATAATATAAGTTTATAGTATGAAACTAAATAAAAACATATACAGTATAATTTTAAATTGCATAATCATAATGAAGAAATGTAACTGACTTTTAAGTTTCTTTTTAATTCACAATATATTTTTTAAAATGAAAAAATACATGATATATATTATATATATTATGGAAGAAATTTAAATTATAAATAAAATTACTTCTAAAATTTTTTATAAATTAAAGTCTACTGTAATCATATTAAAGATATGTGATCATATTATGATGAAAAATTTGATTATATATTTGTTACTACGAAGTTATATATAATTCATGTTTTTTATATATTTAATTTATTAATAATGTTGATAATATCAAAATTAAGATATTTACTATTGATATTATTAAATTTTATAACAATTTTGTATTTAATTCTTTTTTACAAAATATTTCAAAAAAATATTTTTCCATCTTTTAATTAATTTTATCTCATACTAAAATAAATTAGTTGTCCAACTAATTTGTTTTTCAAAATCTGAAATAAATTTACTATTATAATTATTAGAGATGATGTATATAATTGAAATGTTGTAAGTGGATTATTTTATGTTTTCTCTTAGATACATTTTTATAATTAAAAATAGTCTTTACTTTTCTCTCTTAGATTTCTGGTTAATTAATAACGTTTATAGTTTACAACTTAAAATATTTATTAAAACATTTTTTATATACTTAATTTATTAATATTGTTCATAGTGTCAAAATTATTGACATTTATTATTGGTATTATTAATTTTTATAATTAATTATTTTTCATAAAATAATTCAAAAATTATTTTTTCATCTTTTAATTAATTTTATCACATATTAAAATGAATTAGTTGTTTGACTAACGGCTTTTTTAAATCTAAAATAGATTTGGTTACATAATTATTAATAATAATACAAATGATTGAGGAGGTGTAAGTATATTATTTTAAGTTTTTCATTAAATAAATTTTTATAATTAAAAATAGTCTATATTTTTTCTCTCTTAAAAATTCGATAAATTAGTAATATTTGCTTTATAGAGCATAACTTAAAACATTTTATTATCATTATTAATTTTAGTAAGAAATTTAAATATTTTTTATCAAAATTTTCGTTGGCCATCATATATTTTATTTAATTTTTGAATGGTGTCATCAATTTATATTTATACTAGTCTTTTGATTTAACAAAATATTATTATTATTAATATTATTATTATTATTATTATTATTATATTATTATTATTATTATTATTATTATTATTATTATTATTATTATTATTATTATTATTATTATTATTATTATTATTATTATTATTTTAAGATATTAAAAAGAAAAAGGATATGCATTAGAATATAGACAAATATGAGATTTTGAATGATATAATTGAAATATAATAAAAAAAATTATTAAAATTAAAATAAATATTTAAGGGGAAATAATTGTATTTAATTATGATTAACTCATATGAGAATAGATATTAATAAAGTTGTTGTAATATTTTTTAGGAATAGAAGTTGAAGTGAGATAATAGATAATAGATAATAGATATGCATAATTCAGTTCCTCAACTTTTGTACAAGATGAACACCAATCATATATTATTTCATATGGTATCAGAAATTCTTTTAATCAATCATTGTCTCATTTCATTCTTGCAAGATTTCATTCTTATTTTTTTTTTCTATGTGAGTTGTATTGAGAAATAAGTGTGAGTTCTAATTCCCGTATTGCTTAGAAAAGTGGAGATTGAGCATTTTATAAGTGAGATGATACATACACCTATCACTTTAAGGTTTTGGGAGACTATGTGGTGTCTCTTTCACTTGTTTGGATGAGTATTTGATCTTTAGGTGAATATTTGACCCAATGTGAATGTTTTCCCCTTAATAATGATTCATTTGTAGTATTAGAGTATGTGCTGAAAGTCTTCCAAGCATGGTGGTCAGGGCGTGGCGTGTTGATAACGCTAAAACACATTGTATATTTGACTCGATTTGCACATATTTTATTAGTTGTTTTACCTCTATTTGCAGTGTTTTGGTTGTATTTTATCTGTATTTTAGGTATTTGATCACACATGAGTCGTATGCGAAGAAACAGGACGAATCATATCAAAAATGGAGGAAAATGACACAATTTGCACTCACGACGTTCATCATGGCGTGCGTGCGCCATAGAGGTGGTTGTAACGTGGTAAGTGATAACCACGTTCAAAAGAGACAAAGAACAAGTCAAATAGAAAATTTCAAGTGTGTCGTTCGTCACAAGGGGCACTATGTCAAACAAGGGATTAGACAGCGCTTTTTTAGGACTTTAACAGCGCTTAAAAGCACTGCTAAAACCTCCGCTGCTAAAGGTATAGACAACGCTTTTAATGTGGAACTTTAGACAGCGCTTTTATCAAGCGCTGTCTATTCCCCCCCTTTAGCAGTGCTTATCCTTATTATTTTTTAATTTTTTTTTTCAATCACTTTAGACAGCGCTTTGTAAAAGCGCTGTCTATTACCCCCCCTTTAGCAGTGCTTTTCCTTATTTTTTTTTTCAAATTTTTTCACACTTTAGACAGCGCTTTGTAAAAGCGCTGTCTATTACCCCCCCCCCCCTTTAGCAGCGCTTTTCCTTTTTTTTTTTTTAAATTTTTTTTCAATCACTTTAGACAGCGCTTTCATGAAAAGCGTTGTCTATTATCCCCCCTTTAGCAGCGCTTTTCCTTATTTTAAAAAAAAATAATAATTCAATCATTTTAGACAACGCTTTCATGAAAAGCGTTGTCTATTCCCCCCCCCCCCCCCCCCCCCCCCCCCCCTTTAGCAGCGCTTTTCCTTATTATTTTATAAAAAAAATTTCCAATCACTTTAGACAATGCTTTCATGAAAAGCGTTGTCTAACAACATCAATATTCATCTCTTAAATCCTTTTTGTACAATATACACAACAACAAGATTAATATATACCACAATGAAACAATATTATAACAACATCAATATTCATCTCTTCAATCCTTTTTGCACAATATACACAACAACAACATTAGTATATACAACAATAAAACAATATTATAACTACATCAATATTCATCTCTTCACTCCTTTTTGCACAATATATACAACAACAAAATTAGTATATACAACAATGAAACAAAATCAACGATGAATATATAACTTTGTCTTCTACATCGAGCTGCACCTATATAACCGAAAACAAAATCAAAAAATCAAAATTCATACAAGTTACCAAATAACAACAACAAAAACAATAATATTGTAACACAACTATAACGACATATATTATATTCTCAAAACTCAAAGTTATACCTTATAATAAAACTCTCAACTCCATAACAAATTGGCACCAATCCTCCATAAGTTCATCCAATTGATCTTTTGAGTATGAAGCACACTTGAATTCATCAAAGTACTACATAATAATATAACATAGTATGATTTAATTAAAATACTAAGTCATTTTATGAGAAATATGAAAATAATTCCTAAGTTAGAAATTCATACCGTGGATGGAATCTCTAATCGGTCCAAAAGAATAGTTTCTTTCATAAACCTCAACATAAAATAACCGCAATGTACACCATTGCGCTGACGAGGACACTACACATGGAAAGAAAATACGGATATACATCAAGATATACACCTTAACTTGTTTTATCAAGTATCATCACTATATAATCAAAACTGTGAAAATCTATACCTCCACTTTGATCCAAGAAATATTGTTGACTCTACTCCTTGGTACTTGAATATCTCTTTGTTCTCGAAAACTTTGTAGAATGCTATAATAAAATAATAACGAATATTTAGAACTATCGCACATAAATAATTAAATATACACAGTAATATTTTGGAACAATGTCACTTACGTGTCAATCGTCTTCTTCATATATGAGTATGTTGTCCAATCATTGCCCAATGAATCCAGATAATATACAATTTCTCTCACAGGATTAATTGCAACCAATAACCAGTGTCCACTGGAATATTAAACAAAGGTTAGATGGAAATTTTCTGCACAACGTTAAAAAACAAAAAATTATAATAGAGGTAATTTAGAATGAAAATCTTACTTGGGGCCAGTATTATATGGTAAAAAGAACTATTTTTCTGTATCTTTGTTGGCCATAAATAAACTGAGCACAAATGCTATTACTTCATCTGGTTTTGAGATTATTGACCCTGCGTGGACAATGTTGGGATTTATGAAAGCGAATCTGGACTCCAATCCACGCGGGCGAATCAACTTGTCATACAGAAACCTTAAATAAAAACATCATTAACATTAATTATTCATTGAAATGAGTAAATAAATTCTGCAATTAATTAAACAAAGTTGATTGGAGTATACCTGATGTATGTATTGATAACAGCCATGCCTAATGTCAAGTGTCCAAAAACTTTTTCCAAATCCTCCTTACCAATTGTTGTCATGCCTTCAGAACCATAAATCCCTTCATGCAGGGGTATAAGAGAAGTACCACCTTGCGAAATAGTTGTGAAGCTTATAAATGTTTGAAGGCACGACCTATATTGTGAAGTAGTTTTATTTCTAGCCCCGATCCTCTTAGCAACACTCTTTGTTTCTGTGGGAATGTTGCTAATTACAGGCTCCTTACCCCTACTTACAACTTCAATCTCTTTAGCAGGAATAATCTAAATATCATAAAATTAGAGTGGTCAAGTATAGGACGACAAATTAACATTATCTAAGCATAAATATCATATAACTTTGTTGTACCTGTTTTTTTTTTGCTGTCACTGACTCCTCTGGCCGCGTAATCCCTTTATCTTTTGGTTTGGGTTTTGTAGGAGTCTAACATTACCATGCAAAAAAAATGTAAGTAAAACGAACGTAAAAAATTTGAGTACTAAAAGGTTCATAACGATTTTAATTATACCTCATCATCTATGCGAACAAGCCTTGACGGCCATGCAACAAACGCTCCTATTGCCTCTCCCACCAATTTTGCATCCGGAACTTCATCTGGGATTGGTAATAACGCACCCTCCTCTAAAGCAATATCAATCGACACTTTCAAATATCCAGAAGGGAGCGGTTTATGATGAAGTACTTCTCCCAGAGTGTTATGGACTTTTCCCTTGCCAACCATGCGATAAGTTGGTGTCTCTAAAAAGAGTTGACAAGGTGAAATGCCCTAAAATCAATAATAAATATGACATCGTTAATGTGTATATATGTCAGTTAAATAAATTACACTAATTTAATTTCATAATAATATATGTAAGTACCTCGGGAATACTCGGTTGAGCTGCACAATTGACACTAGCTATGTCACTAGCTTCTTTAACACCCGAAGCTTCCCTTTCTGATTGGTATTGTCTTGCTTTTTCCTTCCTCAATTCAAGAACTTCAGCTTCTAATGCATCCAACCTGGCCTGCAGTTCTTTATTGCTAGCAGATTTTGTCTTTGGATTGTTCTTTTTCAAGGAGGTTGGAGTAACCACATGTCCTTTACCCCTCACCCGACCAGAATACTCACGAACATCTAATGCTCAACTAAGTATGCTCCTGCAATCATCTGGTGGAGATGTAGACTGAGACAGACTCTCCTGAAATTCATATGAATATTGGAAAAACATGAATACTATATGTTAATAAAATTTTGATTTAATTAGAATTAATGTTATACTTATGCATTTTTCAAAAATTTGTTGTACATCTTCTTTGAGAACTCCATCCTTACCCACACGGGCAGCCTTCCACAAAACATGCTCCGGAAGAGATGTTTCTGAACTACTCTCCTCTTTTAACTACACATTAACACAAAAAACAAGCTCAGTTATAACTATTGATGAACAAGTATATCATTGCAATTTGTAAATACTTACTATTTTTTGTTCTAATCGTGCATATCCTAAACGCCCTTTTTTGTATGGATATGTGGGAGATGATGCTCTTAGACGATTTACTTCACTAACACTCTGAAATTTTGGGGTTTTCCGTTTGGCTTTAAAAACATCCCATTCTTTAACTGAAATCACATCCGCATATTCTGCTGGACGCTCTGCATCAACAAATTTTTTTCGGCATCTCTAAGATATTTTCTGTTTAAATATGTTCTAAACCCTCTCAGTATTTTGCCGGCCAATCCAAGACAATAATCTTTTCTTTTGTCATCAATGTTGAAATACCTCTACAAAAAACATACACAAAGTGCATTAGTATAAGTAATTTAAAGACATAATTTAAAGTACATAATCGTAATTTAAAGACATAATTTAAAGTACCTGTATCTCACTCCAGATTTTGTTTTTAGCATCATTCAGCTTATCATCTCTCCACTCATCACAAGTTATTGGAATTTCTCTCCTTACAAGTGTGCCAATGTAACTTGTCAATTTAGAACCGTTAGGCTCAATTAATTGGTCATTTGGACTCCAATGCACATCATATTTTATACCCCTATCTCTATCACGAATGATATTCTTCATAATAGTTTTTCCTCTTTTTATTTCTTTTTCCACTCCCTTACTGGATTTTCCTCCATCATTGTCTCCATCATTAATAGAATCATCGTGAGGGTGCTCCTCGTTACTAGCCATCTAACCTGTAATAAAGAAAAACATTAGTATCTAATGACAAATATTTAATTCTAAATATATAATTCCAAATATCTATTCAGTATATAAAATGACAAATATCAATTGAGTATATAAAATGACAAATATCAATTGAGTATATAAAATGACAAATATCAATTGAGTATATAAAATGACAAATATATAATTTATTAGAAGTTTGCTAAGTGTTAACAGGTATGGAGGAATATATATTACCTCTTTCACTAACATCTCTTTCTTTTCTTGGTTGGATTCCAAATTATTTGTCTCTTAAGAACGCGGACGGAGGGATTGATCCAAATTCCCTCATCATGATCTTTTCTGATATATGATTCATCCACTGTAGTATCATCATCTCGATCGTTTCTAATATACGACTCATTCTCAACATCAACATCAACTTGATCCACACTTTTATCATCAATCACTTTGTTAGATAAAAGCACTATAGACCATTTCGTACTCTTCGGGTCTGTGACATAGAACACTTGTTTAGATTGAGAGGCTAGAATAAAAGGCTCATCTTTGTACCCCACCCTACTAAGATCCACTTGCAAAAACCCTGACTTACCCATTCGTATGCCACTAGTATGTACCCACTTGCAACCAAAGATAGGAATCTGAAACTTCTCATAATCAAACACCCAGATGTGATTGATAACCCCGAAATATGACAAATTTTCATATTTGGGGTTTAAGTCCTTCATACCAGAAATGTGCATTGCTTCACATACCACCGTGACACCACTATTTTGCATGGTACTTTTCTCATCTTGTTCTTTGGTATAAAATGTGTATCCATTAATTTCGTATCCTCTATAAGAGAACACAATCGAACTTGGACCATATGCCAAACATCTCAACCTGTCTGATATTGAAGCGGGATCTGAATGAAACTTTGAATATATATGATCCTTAAACCACTGTATAAAACTTTGATTGTGCTTTCGTACTATCCAATTTTCATTTCTACTTTGATTCTCACCTCGGAGTATAGCCTTGTGCATTTCAACAAACGGCTCAACCTCAGTGTCATTATGCAGAACATACAAATGCACTTGATCCCGTTCATCCCTTGATACTGTCACAATTTCATTTCCAATTAATTTGTTACCTTCTTTTTTTCCGAAAAAATGAGATTTGGGGAGTCCAATGGATTGCACATTGGACAAAAAATCAGTACAAAACTCAACCGCTTCTTCAGCAACGTATCGCTCAATGATACAACCCTCTGGACGACTTTGGTTTTTCACGTACCCTTTTAATATTTTCATATAACGTTCAACAGGGTACATCCATCTCATATAAGCTGGTCCACACAATTGTGTCTCTTTCACAAGATGAACAACAAGATGTACCATAATGTCAAAAAATGATGGAGGAAAATACATTTCAAGGTCACACAGAGTAATAACGATTTCTTTTTGTAATACTGGTAAGATCTCAGGATCGATCACCTTACTACAAATTGACCTAAAAAAAACACAATTTAGTTATAGCGCTTCTTACTTTTTCTGGAAAAATAGAACGTATACCTATTGGTAGAAAATGTTCCATTATGACATGGCAATCATGTGTCTTCAGACTCTTTAACTTGAGGTCTTTCATGGACACGAGTCTTCTAATGTCTGAGGAATAACCTTCTGGAACTTTAACTTCACTCAGAAACTTACACAATATTTTCTTTTCCTTTCTAGATAGAGTATAAGAAGCAGGTGGTAGATATGTTCGTCTTCCTTTCTTCACGGGTCCTAATTCAGTTCTTATTCCCATCTCTACCATGTCCTCTATTGCTTTAAGGCCATCCTTAGACTTTCCTTTTATATTGAGTAACGTACCAATAACACTTTCAAATACATTTTTTTCAATATGTATAACATCAAGAAAATGTCTTACGTACAAAGATTTTCAATATGGCAATTCAAAAAAAATTGACCTCTTCTTCCACCCACCTTTGACAACTTTATGTGCAAAAGGCTTGCCAAACTGAATACTCACATCTTTCACCTTTTCACAAATTTGATCACCTGTCAATCCAGGTGGAGCTCTACGTTGTTCGGTATTTCCATTGAACACTTTTCTCCATCCACGATATTGATGTTTTGAATTTAAGAATCTACGATGACCGAGAAAGACATTCTTTTGACAAAGTTTCAAATGTGTCGTATCGGTTCCATCTTCACAAACAGGACACGCTTTTTCACCTTTAATGCTATACCCGGATAGATTTCCATATGCTGGAAAATCGTTAATTGTGCCAAACAACATCGCCCTCAAATTGAAACTTTCTTTCCTATATCCATCATAAACCTCTACACCGTTCTCCCACAAAATCTTCAAATCTTCGATTAAAGGTTTCAAGTATACATCTATGTCATTCCCTGGTTGTTTAGGCCCAGAAATTAACATAGATAACATCATGTACTTGCGCTTCATACATAGCCATGGAGGTAGGTTATAAATCATAAGAATCACAGGCCATGTGGAATGTGAGATACTTTGAAGACCATGCGGGTTCATTCCATCTGTAGATAATGCCAAGCGAAGGTTTCTTGTTTCTCCTCCAAAATCAGGATAATCATTATCAATTTTCTTCCACTGTGGTGCATCTGCCGGATGTCGAAACTTTCCATCGATAATTCTTTCATCTGCATGCCAAGTCAAGTGTCTAGCATCGGTTTCACTACGAAACATGCGTCTAAATCTCGGAATAATAGGAAAATACCATAAGACTTTCGATGGAGATAATTTTTTCTTATATCGAGATAAATCGCACTTTGGGCACTCATTCAACGATGCATATTCGTTTCGAAACAAAATACAATCATTTAGACATGCATGTATCTTATCATAGCTCATGCCAATAGAGCACAACATTTTTTTGGCCTCGTAGGTTCGATTAGGAAGAACATTATCCTCAGGAAGCATATCTCTCAAAAGGGCTAATAACTGTGTGAAACTTTTATCCGACCATCCATTGCGCGCCTTTAAGTTGTACAATTTTAATACCGTAGACAATCTTGTGAATTTGGGGCAATCTTTATACAACGGTTTCTCCGCATCGCTTACCAACCTCTCAAACATTTTGGGACAATCTTGAAGATCTTCTTCAAGTGCTTCTGCAATCTCTTCCACCCGATCACAATCATATGTATCCGTGGCATTATCGTACGAAACATAGGTCGCATTAATTTTCACCCCCGGTTCAACATTCTCGATGCTTTTCTCACCATGAAATATCCAACACGTATAACTTCGATCAATTCCGCGCATTAGTAAATGCGATTTCAATCCATCTGCGTCAACCCGACCCACATAACAACAACCCAAGCAAGGACATTTCATTCTATTCGGGTCTTCAGTGTGTTCAACAACAAACTTAACGAACTCTAATACCCCATCCTCGTACTATTTTGACAATCGATCGGCACACATCCATTTTTTATCCATGGTTTTAACTATTATCTAAGTTAAAAAGTCTGTGTTGTCAACAAAAATCAAACATGTGATTAGAACAATTCTAGAAATG